TCATTTCATGAAAATGTTTCTTTTCCAGCAAATGTAATTATGACTTCCAAACTTCAATTTCAAGCGTTGATTTTTCCTTTTTTTTTAATTCTTATGCGAATCTTTATTATTAAAGAGATTAATCATGATATTAAAGAGATCAATAGTTAATTAAGGTTAAAGATTTGTTTAATTAATTAGCAGATGTTCAAAAGGCATATGTTTCTTATGGAACAAGTACCAGTGAAAAAAAGATTTTTGAGATTGATTATTTTTTGCTTTTAAGATCAATTAAAGAATCGATCTTAAAAGCTAAACTCGTAAGGAGGGCTAGACCAATAATGAAATGAATAAAACTATTATTTTAAGATTTTTCAAAAAAATATTTTACATTAATATTTATGTAATTATTTTTAGTTTATAATTTAAAAGTCACTTTCTTTCGTTCATTTTAAAAAGATATGTAAATATAATTATTTTTTTAATGTTCATTTCTAAAGTATTTTTTTATCAAAATTATTATTATTAATTTTAAAAAATTCATCACTTTAAGATTTGTTTTCAACTTAACAATGTGTTGAGTTTATCCTGCTTATGAGCAGCTAAATTATTTAATATTATGCTTTTGTCTAAAGATTTATTATAATTTCATTTAATTCATTATTGAGTAAGTTGTTTGAATTATAGTAAAATGTTAAATTTGTTTAATAAAACAAAAGAATCAATAATTTAGCCCCGTTGAATTGAATAACTGACATTTTAATCATTAATAAAAAAATTAATCAATGATATTACATGTATAACTTAGAATTGTTAAAAGTGATCTAATGAGTCGTGTTGAACTCTAAACAAAGTGACCTAAAAGAATTAGGTCGAATGTGTCAAGTTGAATCAATATTTAAACAAAATTTATTGAATTTATTTTATTTGATATTACTTTATTCTTTTAATATAATTAAAAAAATAAAATAAATGAGACTAATTTCAATAAATTTACCTAAAAAATAAGTAGTCCATAAAAAAATTCAAGACAAACTAATCCGTTTTACAAACATTAAACAACTGACTTATTTAACACTCTTAATATGTGCATAACAAATCATGCATATATTTAAATATTAATAATTGTTTTTTCATTAATAATTAAAATTATTTATTTAATTATTGTTTATATTAGACAAATCAAATTCTAAAAAAAGAAGAATTACTGAATAACTTAATAATGGATGGTTCAGGCAATATGTATAATATCTTAAATTTTAATTTTATTATTACTATCATAAAATAAAAAAATAAAAAAGAGTATATACTTAATTAATAGATGAAGAAAATAAAAAGAAAATATTGTTCATTTTAAAATATGTTAAATAAAAGAGAGAAGTAAATACCCTTTTCCCTCTTTCCATTGTCAATAATGGTAAATTAATGTGCTTGTCTTCTCATGTCCTCCATTCCGACTCATCTAATAATTTAATATTTTTCAACTCTTATGGTTGAACATCACAATATGTTTGGAGAATACATGCCTCTTTTCAGGTCCATGACCTTCTCTGAACTTTATGTGACTTAAAAGAAAAACTATTGACAAACAGATTAAGTATGCCGTATATATATACACGTTTATGCACAACCAGTGAGTCCATTTAATCAGCAGTGAATTGTGTTAATAATTACGGGACCGACAATATAATGCAAGATTATTTGGCTTTTAAGGCTGGTGAAGGTTGCAATCAAACAGCTAATGTTGTTGGGGAGAACCAAGGCATAGTTTTTCTTTGATAATGACACATATTGCTCCTAGCATTAAAATATATTTTCCCTTCATTTTATATGTTTTTGCTTTTCAGTTTTTGTGTATTTTATGTTTCATCCAAAACCAAACAGAATATTTAATTAATACTATACATCCATTGTCTTCATCTCTCTGGTTTTCTTTCTATCAGTAAAAAAATTATATAGCTAGTAATAGGGATTTAACCTAAATGTTTATATATCTACCTATTCCAACTATGAAGCTGATCCTAAGAGTATTTTATTTTTCTGGTTTTTGAGGGTTGGAAGTTGTCCAATTTTGTTTATTCATTTGCAAGGATATAACTACAGATCAATATCATCACAATAAAAAAGCAAATGTAAAAAGATTTAAGACCCATCTGGTGTAAAAGACTAAATTAAGGTTTTATTGAATAAGTGTTTATTGTGTACAAGTTATTTTTACAATTGAAGGAAAATATAGGGTTAAATTTGACTATCTTTATATAAGTTGTAATTAAGGTTTAGAGTTTATGATTATTTTGACTACCTTTGTTTAGGGTTTAGGGTTAAATTAAGGTTCTTTAGAATGCTGTGTCCATAATTTCAATAACAAATACACTTAATTATCAAGAAACTAAAAAGTTTCTGCTGATCAAAGCCTAATCACTTAATTTGAAACCCTTAAGCACCGCTTTGTAGGTAACGTAACAGAGGTGCAGGTCTTAAAAGAGTGGATACAAGAGTTACAAAGTGGCATTGGAAGATTCATATCCATTGCTGATCTCACCATACTATCTTGGCATCTTTACCCAAGGGTAAAGGTTAATAATCAAACAAAAATATCACTTCAGTTCTGGTTTATTTAACAATTCCATTTCCTCCACTGCATGGAAACATTGAATCAACCCTGTACTTATAAGTTATTACCTAAAAAGAAAGAACTGCACCATATTCCATATAGCAGCCTGCTTTTGAAAGTATATATGGTCAAGATCAGGAATTCCTAGAGATCATGAGCATAAAGAAATAGGTTCATACTACTACTGAAGGAAACATGATTGTCCCTATCCTAATAAATTAAAGGATTTTTAGACTCCTTGCACTTGTTTCCTTTTGAAAATAGGCATCTTTGACTTTAAATTCATCCTAATTGACCCTCAAATTGCAGGAATTGTTTTAATAAATCCTTCTGCACCGGGGGTTTAAATGAGTAATGGTGAAATGATCATGACTGTTGATAGTTTAAACTTTCTAATTTAATATTTTTCATTTTTACATAACTTTTCTTCTTTCCTAAATCAGAAGTGGTGAATTGAAACAGTGATTTTAAAAAAATAAGTAAAGATGATTTTAAAGAAATATAAACAACTAACATTTAACCCAATAAATTATCATGATCATTTCATTATTAGTAAGTCTTTCTCTTTATTAGAGCAATACCTATAATTTAAAAAATTGAATAAGACAAATTACAAGTTTGAGTGTCTATTTAAACAAAAAAAAAAAAGTTTAGGATGAGAGTGTCCTCTTTTCCTTAAATTATAATAAGCAATCCTGAGGTCTATTTTCTACCCAGACAGGTCCAGCACCAACTCAACCCAGACTTTTTGCCATGACCCACTTAACCTACCCTTGGCGCAATTCCGGAGATTTCCCTTCCCTACAAAAGTTGCCTGTCTGCTACACATTAGACACTACTAATAGCCTACCAACAATGTCTTTCAATTGTTCGAGATTTCATATCGATCATCAATATAATCTATATCTTATGAATCGGTTTAATAATGTTGAGCTAGACATTAATCTCTTTTTCTAAAACATATTATTTGGTGTCTTTGAAACTAAGGAGATAGAAAGAAATTATCAATCAACAATTTGGAAATTCTCAGGAGTGTCCTCAAACAAGGATTTGGGAGACTTTGGGCATCCACGTTTTTGAAGAATTAAAATTTAGGCAAATAGTTATTAGGAACCCAGTAACAAGCATAGCCTTTAGCAGACTTGGGTTATGCAAGAAATGTGCATGAATCTGTCACATCTTACTTTTGTACACGATAGCAAACTAAAATAAACCCAAATCCTTTGACCAACCAAACCTTGATTAATCTTAATTCCTAGCGATCCTCTACCTTCTGGATGGACGACATCAACATTGATGGGATAGGAAAGAAGAGTGTTCAAAGAATGGAACATTGCTGCAGCTTTCTACCAAATCTAGCAAAAGCATCATGCATGGCATAGAACAAGGCTTTACAATAAGGCCTTAATAATAGTAAGAAAGATATATTGAGCTGCAAAAGCATCATGCATGGCATAGAACAAGGCTTTACAATAAGGCCTTAATAATAGTAAGAAAGATATATTGAGCTGGTTATTGAAACTGTCTCACAAGTCACAAACTCTTTATGACAATTATATACATCTAGACCCCTCAACAAGCTCCAAGCCAGCAGGTACCAATGGTTCAAGGAGGGTCTTCTTACTTGGAGTCTTGGATATAAGTTGGCTTATTTTTTTGGCTATCAAGATGAAGTGGAACATCCATCATAAACTTAACCTTGAATTTTTTCTTGGTTTTGTTTTTCTTTCTCCCTTAACTTTAGGCTAAGGGAAGGGTGGGGTCTTGCAGGTCCATATGACTTCTAAATAACATTATAGAATAAACACTAATTAATATTATTTTTTTATATAGAGATATCCTAAGGAAAATAAAAACTAAAACATATTCACAGATTACATGTCAAAGTAAAAATTTAGAGAATTATCCTATATCAATAAATAATGAGTTAGAGCATCTCTAGTGGGGGTTGCTTATAAGCAATCCCTGTGCCACATCATTGTCACGTCAGCTTTGGTCCATTTTATGGGTTGTTTAAATTTTAGTCCATTTAAATTTTATGTGTAATCTATGGCACAGAGGTTGCTTATAAACAACCTCCACTGCAGATGCTCTTAGTAAACAAACCTCTAGTTTTGCAAATGAATTTTCTTCCATCGTGTTTATAATGTATATTTTTTTGAGGACTCGTGTTTAGCATATTTAAAAACAATGAAAAAATTAAATTAAATTATATTTGAGGAGAATAATAATGATTTGAATTGATTTGTAAATCAAACTGCAAAATGCAAGTATACAAACGATATTTAAAAAAAAAGAAGAAATAATTTAATTTAAATTAAAAAGTAAAAAAATAAAAAGCAAAAATTAAGCATGCAGAGCAGATTCGAACCATGGTCCCCCGGAATAAAGCACAGAAACTTAACTACAGAGCTATAGAAAGCACATAAAATACATGTATCTCTTTATGCTAATTATGATGATGATGATAGAATAGAGACTAGTAGCGAACTCAAAATCCCTAAGCCCCATTCTTCCCGCGTCTTTCTCCTTCACATTACTCTCTTCTCTTGGCTTCTTCGCCGTTTTCTCTCTGAAGAAAATGGCTACACAGTACGGCATCAAATTCGCCGTTCACCTCATCACCAATCACTTCGGCACTCTCGTCGCTGTAACTCTCGCTTTCTCTTTCTCTCTCTCTCATTTAACGGATTTAATTGGCACTGATTCTGAATTTTTGGTTGTGCAGAAAGTATGCGAAAACCTATTTAAGCATGGACCCCTCGCTTTGGACCAGTTGATTCACTACACGGAGCTTACCAAGGAACAAGTCAAAAACTCCTTACTTGTCTTAGTTCAGCACAATTGTGCCCAAGCATTTGTTCCTGCACCTGAAGGTATTATTATTATTATTATTATTTTGTGTTATCCCTTTCTTGTATTCTTTTTATTTTATTATTACTATCTAGTATCTACTTCCAATAAGTATGTTGGAGTTATGGCCCATCGCCGCTCGTTTCTTCTTCGGATTTGGTTAGGTTTCGGTTGAATTGGTAGTGGGCGGGTCGCTTAGTCTTGCTTGCCTAGCCCTGGTTGAGTAAAAAAATAAAAAAGAACTTCCTAGCTGTGGTGGTTTTGATGCCATGTATTAGTTTGATAGATTAATTTGGTGTTTGCAATGAAATACTTATACTGCTCCATTGGTGAGTAAATTCACCTGATGATGATGTTCTGAATAATTATAAATGCAGATGATGTAGGCAGATTGAGAGTTAGAACTGAGTACATGGCATTGTTTGATAACATAATCCACCGATTGAGATTTCCCAAATTCTTGGAGATTGTGTCGCGGAAGCTTGATGAAGAGGTCTGCTTGATCACTATGTTTCTTTCAAGTTTTTCACTTTACGGCTTAAGATGTTGAAATTATTTTCCACTTGTTTTGCAGTGTGTGGAGCTTCTCGACGGATTGCTTCGTGATGGTAGGCTTACCCTGAAACAAATGGTTGATAGAGCAAGTCAAGGAAAAGGCAAGTGTTTTATGATGCCATGTGATATGTTGACTACTGTTTTGCTTATATTAATTGATTTTATTCTAAAAAAAGGATGTTTTACACAAATTGTCAAATAATATTTTTAGGAGCTGTGTGACCTATCAACCAAATCATATGTGGTTTAATCATATTTCCTCTTTGTGAATCAGGTGAGGAAACTGTAGATGACTTTTAAAACTATAAAAAAACAAAGAGTATGTTTGGAGTGGGTCAATGTACATGTGATAGTTGTGTGGCTTGTTTTGGGTTGGGTTATAGGAATGGTACACCATATGCAACTTAGCTAAATTTGTGGTGTACATAAGGAGAGGACTCAGTTAGTTTGCAATTGGAGGTAATGATACAGTCAACGAATTATGTGAATCTTTGTAATTTATGTTATAGGGAGATATATTGCCGGACCTATAATTTAACAGTATATGCAATTTAAGAAATCATATACTTGGATCTCAATAATATGTTGAAAGTACTGTATTTAAAACATAGTTGAGCTTACCTATATCACAAAATCATGAATTCCTTCAAATTAGTCTATTTAAATTATTGTACTTTCAGAAAATGCTGTGGCTACAAATACTGTACGAGAGATACTCTGTAAACTTTTGGCGGCACGATTTGTTGAACGCTGCCCTGCTCCTGAGCCTGTTGTTTCTACCTCATTTAAAGAAAGTACTACTAAGAAGCGGGGTGCTAAGTCTGCCAAGGTAATTAATTGTTCACTTGGGTCAATTTCTTTTGGTTGTTTATCTTTGACTAATGATTTTGGGTAATAACCTTTTGATGTCTATTTGGTGCAAAGCACAAGCTTTTTAATGTGGTTTCACTAATATGAAGCTTTGTTCCTCTGATTATCTCTTTTTTTCCTTCTTCCATTTTTGGTTTTGTTTTGTTCTTTTGTTTCGAAGGATTCCTTATCCTCCTTTTCTTTTGTAATTTTTCACTTATTATATTTCTCCGTCATTATTATTGCTATTATTATTTAAATTGAGCTTATCTCAGCCTTTTGCTTATTTTTTCTTGACTTAAGAACAAAGCTTTGTTGATGCTTATTATCCAAATTTGAGATCAATTTGATGGTAAAGTCAGGTTAAGATAATGTCATCTGTGAGATCCATTTTCTAGTTAATTATTGAATTTTGTATACACAAATGACCATTCATTTATCACTTCCTATTTAGGATGCTTACAATTAAGTTACTCAAATTGATGAGCATTCAATGTCGTCATTTTTATTAAAATTACAACAACAAAGTATTCACTCTTGTAACCTAGATATGAATTTAATCAACACTTTCTTTTGATAATATGTGCCATATAGATATTTGAAGCACCAGAAACATTAGAACAACGTGTTATAGAAGCAGCAGTGCCTGGGGATGGAATCAGATTTTCACTGACTCCAGATACAGGAAGTAATGTTGACGGAGAAACAAATTCAGATGATGCCCAAATGAGTGTTGAAGAAAATGTTGGTAAGATAATTGTCATCTCATGTGATCAGATCACGCAAGTATTATTTTTTGAAGTTTTAGATCAGATCAATGGTCAACTTAGAAGTTTTCATGTAACAAAATCTTTCATGTTGGTATAATTTTTTGAAGTTGAATACAAAATTTGGTGCAGAAGAGGATCAAATTCTTTGGCGTGCAAATTTTGAGGAGTTTATACGTCATCTGAGGCATAAGGTTGATTTTGCAATAAATTTCCTATCTGAACATTGTGCTATTACTACCCAGTCTACTTTTCTTTTTCCTTTGAATTTTTACCTCTTTTTTTTAGTTCAAATTCCTGTTGATTTACCTAATTGAGAAAGGGAATTGAACTTCAGAGTTGTAAAAGCATACTGCATGGCAAATGATAGTTAAATGTTTTGAATAAAAATACAAATATTTTACGCACAGAGAAGCTATATTCTAGGGTTATGTAAATGATGAAAGTTAAATTTGGAATTCTTGTCTTTCAAAGGGAAGCAATTCTATCAAATGAATACTAGTTATAATAAATGTCAATTTGGATACACATGGCGTGAAATCACACAGGTTACTTATTGATTGAAACCCTACATTAACATTGGGTGGTTCAATTTTAAATTGACAACGTTTTTGGAGCTATGTTCAGTTGCCATCTTTGACTAAGGCTAGCATTGATCTGGTTCACATGTTACCCTTTATACTGTACTAACTTATGAATTTAAAAATGTTTTAAGGAATCAGCTAGAGTAAGAAACTCAAGGTTTGGTGGGGGGCTATATTTACATCACTGGATAGGATCATTGTGTAGTGCTTCCTATAAAGCAGCTTGGCATTTACTTGCTTTCCCTTGTTGATGTTACTACATTTTTTCTTGCTTGTGTGATAAATGTGGAAACTAGGATTGTACTATTGTTTCTGTGCTCTGGGGTTTTCTTTTTAATCAAATTAGTAAAAGATTGTAAAATTTTCATGGATGTCCCACTTATAAGCTAATGTGATTATAGTATTGAGATGACCTTTTCCGTCTTTTGTCTGGATATTTTTATTGAAAGCTTACATTTAATATTCTATGCATATTCTAGGTATTGATTGAGAATGTAAGAACTCAGCATGATGATGGAACTGCTACTGTCTTAAATGCAGTATTGGAGGCAACAAGAACTGGAGAGAGAAAAGTGAAAATGGATAATTCAGGTTAATCAGATTCCTTACTTTATGAATTTGGAACACTTGGAGATTTTAGAATATGAAATATTATTTATATTTAAGATGACATACACGAGTTAGATTTATACACCCACGACCTTAACAAAAAAGGAAAGAACTAGAGTTGAATTTCAGATATCTGGGAGTGACTACTAAAGTAAAAATTACAAATTAAACGGCCTATATCTAGGGATACATCAGTTTAAATATTTCATAAAATTACTAAAGCAGTTTTTCGACACTCGCCCTCAAGTGGTGACTAGGAATTTTCCCTTCCTGACTCGAATAAAATATTTTAAAATTCTGTAATGCTAGACCCTTTGGTAAGTATATCATATCTGCAAGCTGACTTGGTTAGTGTTTAGACACATGTATAAATTAATTCTCTCTCCATTTTTTCTTTGATAAAGTGTTTGTCAACCTCAATGTGCTTTGTTTGATCGTCTTTTATTCTGAGCTCATGCTGATTGCAGACTTGTGATAAAGTCTCATTGTTCCATTCCACTTGATCTTCAAGGATGAATGTGGATTGTTAGACAGAGAGAGACGTGTAGACATATAGATAGATAGACAGAGACATAGATAGATAGATAGATAGATAGATAGATAGATAGATAGATAGATAGATAGATAGAGAGAGAGAGAGAGAGAGATAGAGAGAGAGAGATAGGACCTTTTAAAGGGGTTTCCCTACTAGCTATGTTGGGCTGTGCCGATTTTTCCATTGATTCTCTCTCTAGTTCTCTGTTTTGTTCTTTTTCTAAGGATTCCGTATGCTCTTCTCTTTTGTAATTTTTTCTGTTGTATGAATTTCTCCTTTCATCACGGCACCACTTTTCTCTTGGTTCTCTCTAGATACTTTATACTATATTATCCTATGTTTCAGTTCCCTTGTCTCTGGATGCAATTATTACAGAGGTGATGAAGACTGATACTGGTCGAACTATGACCATAGATCGTATAAGAGCTTCTCTTGGCCAGTTGGGTTGTTCACAGAGGATGATTGTAGATGATTCATATAGTATTGGTAAAACTGATATCTATTTTCCTCATGGTATTTCTTGTGATATAAAACGTCCACCATTTTATTTTGTTATTTGTAAATGTTAAAGAAATCTTTCATAGTTATAGTTTGTGATTTCTTTAATAGTTTGTAATTCAGAACTCTTTTTTTCCTTTCCAGATTTGAAGAAAATTATTGAAAGGGCTCGAAATGAAGAGGTTATAATATCTTTATGTTCTTTACAAATTACATACATTATATATGTACACTGTTCATGTAGAACTGTCTCCTTTTGTGTTCTATGTTGCAGGTTGATTCAATTGTTTTGAAAAGATATGGAAGGGATGCCTACAGAATGTTCAGGCTACTGTCAAAGGATGGTGAATTTCGTGACACAGATCAGGTGATTTGTTCTTGTTAATTAAGTAGTCAAAAAATATTTTTGCTAATAAACAAAATGGATTCTATCATTCTTCCTTCATTGATAATTTGATATTGGCATTTTGAGATTCTAGTCCAATTTAACTTGATGCTTGAGGGTTATTGTTCACTCCAGTAACCCCCCATGTGGGTTTTGAAGTATGAACTATCTGAGTAATGAGTAATTACATTTAGTGTATTGTTCGATAAAAGTGAAAGTATAGGCAATGAAAATTTGCTAATGTATTTTCATTTTTGAAAATTTAAGCTATGAATGTCATTTGTACCAAGATTTTTATTTCTATTACTAAAAATATGAAGTAAAATCGAGTCCTCAATGTTCCTTAAATGGTTCTATTGGCATTCAATAAAATGCATTAGTAGCATACTGAAATTGCGTTAATATGCTTTTCAATCCAGTTTTCTTTAATAAAAAAACAAACAATTTTATAAACATTAATTATAAATGTCTTATATTTAGGATAAATTTGCTTTTTGGAGACATCAGGGATATTAAGCTCATGTATGTCCTGTTAATATAGTATATATAGAGTGAGTTACTGCTAGAAACAGTCAGTGACCTTTGATCTTCATCTGTTTCACGCTGAAATATATTTGTAGTTGGGTGTTAACAAGAAACACCCAAATTCTAAATCATTTTGACAGCAGAAGTTTTTTTTTTTTTTTTTTTCTTTTCTTTTTCGGCACTGAATTGAGTTATCAAACTAGTTGTCAGTCTTGATGAAGCATAATTCTGTATTATGATAAAGTTTAGCTTCCGTCTAATTATACTGTTATTTCTTTGTTTGCCTGTTCAAATGTTTATTGTTGTTCACGTTAACACTAGAGTCTAAAGGTGCAAACATTTGGGTAGGAGAGGGAAAAGGTATATGGTGGAGGATTCTAATGTATGTGTACGTCATTTTGTAAAGCGTAACTTTACAAATTATCTGGTACGTGCTAAAAAAGATGTTCAAACAACGAATTATTTCATATGCAAAAGCTGTTGGATTAGGATGTCTAATAACTTCATCTACGTTGACAGTCCTCCTTGATCCTTCACATGTGCCAAAATCCAATAAAGGAGATTGCTAAATTGATATTATATGTCAATGATTACATATTCCTCCGTTTTTCAGGAAATAAGAAGAATAAAGGAATTCAATGGACTCAAATTCTATATTAATGTTATGACCTTGTAGTGCTTCTCTTTCGTTTATAGATAGCAGCGTCTACTCTGGTTGAGAAAAAGGAAGCTCCAAAGTTGCTATACAAGTTATGGGATGACAACTACTTATATATGGAGGTGATCAATCTTTTCAATATTTACACTCTTTAGAAGCCATTAGATATTTGTGTCTCAATATTTAATTTTTCCACGACTTAATCGTCCTTGCAGAAAATACCTGTGTCGGGAGCCAAGATACCAAATACTTTTATTTTGATGTGGAAAGTTAATAAACCTCTACTTTGGGAATATGTACTGGACGAAATGTACCATGCTGCCTTAAATTTGAACCTAAGAATGGCTTTTGAACAGGAAAAGGATGAAGAGGTTAGTAACTTCAAAATTGTTTATAAATTTATCTCCGTTGAATAAAAATATTCTTACAAGATTAACTTATAATATCTTAAGCATGTGTTAGTTGTTGTGCAAACCTCAATGTGGCAAGGGCGAGAAGGAAGGATATATCTTTCATTTTTTTTTAATATAGCTGATATTTATATTGATTTGCATCTTCATTGTATTTTTGTTGGTCTTTAATGTCTTGCAAAAAATATTGTAAAAGCATAATCATAGCTAAACCAATATAATGTTATATTCAAGTAACGATTGTGATTCTATTATCTGGAGAAAAAAAAAAAATACAGTAAGACCGGTTGAACATAAGACCGCCTATTTTAAAGTATATGCATACATTAGAGTTTGCAACACGTAATGTTCGTACTAAAATGTTATTGCTACTTGTTTCAGCTTTTAAATGTTCCTAAAGACAAGCTTAAGGAGCCAGGACCACTGCAGAAGAAATACAAAAGGCTGCAAAATGTGTGGTTACTACTAGGATCATCATTGATGAAACTCGATGATGCTCTGATGCTTTTCCATGACTTTTGAATATAAATTTTGGGACAGTTATGATTTTTTCATTATAGTAATGACAAATTTGATAAGGAATTCGATCTAGTAGGAGTATAAATTTGAACTGAGCATAACATGATTTGATGTGCTATTTGTAGGTTCTTTTTACTAAATTAGTGTAATTTGTTTTAAAAATTAACAAGCTAATGTAGTTTTTACATTTTAGAAAAATAATCAATACGGTGTGAGTCATACTTTTTAAATATGAATTCTTTTGATGTTATACACATTTTTTTTCTTCTGGCGATCTATGATATAGTTTCTGGCTATTTGGGTCACACTTAAATTACTGTTAACAAATAGCCAGAAATGTACTCGCTAAAAAGTTAAAGGAAATCACACGCATGAATTGGTATT